GCTAGCTATCTGCTTTGCCTTAACAGAACTCTGTAGTAGCCCCTGTGTGATGACTTATTGGGTTGGGTTCTCCTGTACTGCCCATTTGAACAAAGCAGGTAAAAATAAGGTTTTTATCTCAATATTAACTTGTCTTTCCCAGTAATAAGTAGGTAACAAGGTAAGTTCTTAAGGCAATTCTTATAATAATATAATTTTATCACAATATTCAGTTTACCTAAAAAAGTTATTTAAGTATAAATTTAAAGCAATAGATCTAGAGACCAAAATCTAATTTTATATAACTGTTCTTGGAATAGCCTGGGACAGATGTTACTGCCATTTTAAGAAAGGTAGTTTGAAACAATTTCTGTAATAAACCTCACTATAAGTTTCAAATACCTAGTTGTGACGGGATTAACAGTTGCCTACTAAATAAATTATCTATTTCCCCCTTCTTTCTTACTAATAGATCCCTGTATCATTAGAGGTAGCAATGTGCTCAGGTAAAAACAAAACAAAACAATCCCAGACCTTCCTTATTTACAAGGATGAACAATAAGATATGCTAGATAGGTTTCTGTAACAAGCCTCTTGATAAAGACAGATTAGACAGACTAACTTGTGGCACCTGACTGGTTCAGTTGGTAGAGGATGTGACTCTTGATCTTAGGGTTGTGAGTTCAAGCCCTACAATGGGCAGAGAGCTTATTACTTTTAAAATATATATAAACAAATACAACACAGTAAAATAAAGAGGCTAACTCAGATGGAAGTTTTCTTTAGCCCTTTTTCCTTATTCCTTCTGGGACTATGGTTGTGATGGTTAGAGTTCCAGCAGCCATTTTGTAACATGAGACAATCTTGAGGACAGAAATCACACGTTAAGAATAGCAAGGGGGCGGGGGGCACCTGGGTGGCTCAGTCGGTTGAGTGCCTGACTTCAGCTCAGGTCATGATCTCACGGTCTATGAGTTTGAGCCCCGCGTTGGGCTCTGTGCTGACAGCTCAGAGCCTGGAGCCTCCTTTAGATTCTGTGTCTCCTTCTCTCTCTGCCCGCACCCCTCCACTCTCTGTCTCTGTCTCTGTCTCTCTCTCTCAAAAATAAACATTAAAAAAAGAAAAAAAAGAATAGCAGAGGGGGCACACGAGTGGCTCATTCGGCTGAAGTGTCCAACTCTTGATTTTGGCTCAGGTCATGATCTCAAGGTTCATGAGATCGAGCCTCACATCACGCTCTGTGCCAACAATGCAGAGACTGCTGGGGATTCTCTCTCTCCTTCTCTATCTGCCCCTCCCCTGCCCACATGTGCACACACTTTTGATCTCTCTCA